TGCTTTTATCCTAACGTTTCTTCCATTTCATGCCTTAGCTCAGGCAGATACCTTTGAGTTTGCTCCAGTTTTTAACTGTGTAGGTCGAGGCAACTACACGGCCAACAGCACTTTTGCCGGAAACCTCAACCGCCTTGTCTCCTCTCTCTCCTCACTCACATCCAAACCTTTTGGCTTCTACAACCTTTCTTCTGGAGACTCATCTGGAGAAAGGGCTTATGCAATTGGTCTGTGTAGAAGAGAAGTCAGAAGAGATGATTGTCTCAGCTGTATCCAGACAGCTGCAAGAAGCCTCACCGAGCAATGTCCCCGGGCAAAACAAGCTATTGTGTGGTACACACACTGTATGCTTCGTTATTCGAACAGGACAATCTATGGAAGAAAAGAGACGAGCCCGACTACGGGTTTTATTGGCGGTCCAAATATAACAGCAAACAGAGATGAGCTTGAGATCCTGCGAATAGGACTATTGGATAGGCTCAAAGGGATTGCGGCGGCTGGTGGGCCGGATAGGAAATATGCTCAGGGGAATGGTTCGGCTCCGGAAGGGTACGGGAGATTCTACGGAAGTGCGCAGTGTACGCCGGATTTGTCTGAAGATGATTGTAATGATTGTCTAGTTTTTGGGTTTGGGAATATCCAAACTTGTTGTAATGTTAGGGTTGGTCTTAGGTGGTTTTGTCCTAGTTGTAACTTCCGGTTTGAGACATTCCGATTCTATGAGCTTGATGCCGACCTAGAGCCTGATCCACCAACATCGGCTGCAAGAACTGAGGAAACAGGTACGTAGAAATGCTTGAATGTGTGTTCTGCTAGCTGCAAATGTTGTTGTCTCTAAGATTAAGACAGTGAATGTTTACTCGCAGGAAAGGGTATAGGTGAATCTAAAGTTGTTATGGCGATAGTCATTCCGATAGTTCTTGTTGCGTTGTTTGCAATTTGTCTATGCTTGGTCTTGAAGTGGAAGAAGAACAAGTCTGGTAAGTGGTAACACCATGTTCTTCTTATTGTTATCTTTTTCTTGTTAAAAAAGATAAGCTATAATCTTGATAACTACTGTCTGCATATGCAGTTCTTGGGACGCCTTTGTCGGGATCAAATTCCGAGATGCATACAGATTCGCTGCTAATTGACTTTGAAACTCTAAAGGCAGCAACAGATAACTTTTCTCCCGAAAACGAACTCGGACGTGGTGGGTTTGGTTCAGTTTATAAGGTAAGTTTCTTCGACCAAACTTCTGACCGRWAACWTTGGTTTGTWTATTTGAGAGATTTRTWAMCWTRGGATTATGTAYGTCTCTCAGGGTGTGTTCTCTCATGGGCAAGAAATCGCAGTGAAAAGATTATCGGGTAATTCTGGACAAGGAGACATCGAATTCAAGAACGAAATCTTACTACTTGCAAAGCTTCAACATAGGAACTTGGTTAGGCTTTTAGGTTTCTGCATACAAGGTCAAGAGAGACTCCTTGTCTATGAGTTCATCAAGAACGCTAGTCTTGACCATTTCATCTTCGGTAATCTTTTTTACGCATTTTGCTCCTTATGATCCTACTACCATTCTCTTCCCCTATGTGTTGATCTTTGCGCCGTCACAGATCCTGAGAAGCGCCAAAAATTGGATTGGACAGTGCGATACAACATGATCAGAGGAGTTGCTAAAGGACTACTTTATCTTCATGAAGACTCTCGGTACCGGATCATTCACCGTGATCTAAAAGCTAGCAACATTCTTTTGGACCAAGAAATGAATCCGAAAATCGCAGATTTTGGATTGGCCAAACTCTTTGACACAGGCCAAACGACTACACATCGATTCACAAACAGAATCGCAGGAACTTAGTAAGTAGATTCATCTTACTAAATTATTAAATCCAAAAACCCACTGGTATAAACCGGTCATTTCATTTCATCTTGTAGCGGGTATATGGCTCCAGAATACGCTTTGCACGGACAATTCTCTGCGAAAACAGACGTATTTAGCTTCGGTGTATTAGTCATTGAGATCATTACATGTAAGAGTAATACCAGTTGTAGTAGATCTGATAATGATGCAGAAGATCTTCTTAGTTGGGTAAGTACACAAAACCATATCGGTTATTAAAGTTTCGGGTTTTGTTCATTTTGTTAAATGAATTCGTTTTTCTTTCTTTCTCAGGTATGGAGAAGCTGGAGAGAAAACAGTATACTAAGCGTGATCGATCCGAGTTTAACTAGGGGATCAAGACACGAGATCTTGAGATGCATACACATCGGTCTCTTGTGTGTTCAAGAGAGTGCAGCCACTAGACCAACCATGGCTACGGTTGCTGTCATGCTAAGTAGCAATTCGTTTACTCTCCCGACACCTTCGAGGCCTGCGTTTGTGTTAGAGAGTGTAATGCCTTCAAATGTTTCTTCTTCGACGGAAGTGTTAACAATGTCGTCGAATGATGTTACTGTTTCTGAGTTATCTCCTCGTTAGGGAGCTTAATCTGTAATTGTTTTGGAAGTTTCTTTGATAACAGAGCTTTTGCTTCAGCATTTCAATGGTTCTTTACCTGTTCGGCTCCTATGATGATGCGGTCGTCTACCCTTAAAACCGGAAATTAAAATTGTAAATTGATCCAACAGATTTAACGTAAACAAAATGAACGACCCGAACCGGTTAATTAAGTTTCCGGTTCGGTTTAGCTCGGTTATTTTAATCTGTTTCGACTCGGTCGGGGATTGCTTAGTTAGTTCAATAATTAAGAATCGTCGTCGCTGTTCGCCGGCGACGGCAAGGACGGGCTTTTCCCGATCGCTTCGACCGCCGAAACATAATCAGTCTGTCCTCTCTCTGTTTCCTCGCCGTCACCATTATCGGCGGCGTCTTCACCACTGGTTTCCCGATTTCGTAGCAAACTAAAGACTCGACACTCAAGATTTCGTAGCGTTTATGTTCTCCAAATGTTCGATAAAATTAAGGGTTTTTAACTCCCTAATTGAATCTCGAGCAATTGTACTCTTGGGACAAGCAAAGGCGTCGAATTGACTCACGGGGATTTCATCTCATCGTCTTTAATGGCGTCGAAGGGAATCATGTGGTCATGGGAGAGATTCATAGCGTGTTTATTCTGCTTCTTTCCGATGTTTCATGTGTTGACTCTTGCCGGTATTATGTATTCTCGGCTTCAGTTTGCTGATCCTGAGGTTTTTAAATGGCGAGATTTGAACTCAGAGTCTGTTATTAAGGAAGATCAGGTATTTAAGGTAATTTTTGTGCGTCGAGCAACTCTTTTGTCCAAACCGGGATATACAGGTGTTTCATCAAACAATGTTGTTACTTTTTTGTAGTAAAGCATGCACTTTTGTTTGCTGGTTTGGAATTTACAAAAGCTAGGTATGAATTCATTCATAAGAGAAGAAACTTATTCAGCAAGTAGGAGAGTCTAAGGGCTCTACTTAACACTTTGATTACTATTAATGGAAAGATTAGTTTTCATTTCATAGTTGGTTTGAAAACTATCAAAAAGTTTCAATTTTTTTCAGTTCATATTGGTACATTAGAGGAAAGAAGTCAGGAATAAACACTTTTTAATTCAAATAAACATTTTTTCACACCGTTGACCTGATTCCCTGCATCAACTCGTTAGTTTTATATAGAAATTTTAAGAATCCATCACCATGCAGGACCCAACAACCTCACAAAGTCTGTCCACATGTGGCTGCTAAGGATTTTTCTAATTGTTTTTGATCGGCAACTTGTGTTCTTTTGGCTGTCAGATTTTGAAATAGTTCAAAGAACACACTGCTTTGTTTATGATTCCAAGATCAATTTAGATCAATCTTTGCCATATCTAGACTCTTTACGTTCTGGGGCATTAAGAAGAAAAAAAAGCTTCAAGCTTTCATGGAGCATGGCTCAGTTATCTTCTTCTTCTTTGCTTGTGTCCTAACGTTTGTTCCATTTCACGCCTTAGCTCAGGTAGATACCTATGAGTTTGATCCAGATTTCACCTGTGTAGATCGAGGCAACTTCACTGTGAACAGCACTTTTGCCGGAAATCTCAACCGCCTTGTCTCCTCTCTCTCTTCACTCACATCGAAACCGTATGGCTTCTACAACCTCTCTTCTGGAGACTCATCTGGAGAAAGAGCTTATGCAATTGGTCTGTGTAGAAGAGAAGTCAAAAGAGATGATTGTCTCAGCTGTATTCAGACAGCTGCAAGAAATCTTACCGAGCAGTGTCCACGAGCAAAACAAGCTGTTGTGTGGTATACACAGTGTATGTTTCGTTACTCGAACAGGACAATCTTTGGAAGAAAAGAGACGGACCCAACTCTCTCTTTTGTTGGTGGTGAAGGGATATCAGCAAACAGAGACGAGTTTGAGCGTGTGCGGAGAGGACTATTGGATAGGCTCAAAGGGATTGCAGTGGCTGGTGGGCCGAATAGGAAATATGCTCAAGGGAACAGTTCAGGTTCGGTGGGTTTCCGGAAATTCTACGGAAGTGCGCAGTGTACGCCGGATTTGTCTGAACAAGATTGTGATGACTGTCTAGTTTTTGGGTTTGAGAGTATCCCAAGTTGTTGTGATGGTGAGATCGGTCTTAGGTGGTTTTGTCCTAGTTGTAGCTTCCGATTTGAGACGTGGAGATTCTATGAGTTTGACGCTGACCTAGAGCCTGATCCACCTGCAATTCAACCTGCTGATTCACCAAATTCAGCTGCAAAAACTGAGGAAACAGGTACATAGAAATGTTTGAATGTGTCTCTTGTATAGAGGCTGTCCCTAGCTTCAAATGTTTTTTTGTCTCTAAGGTTAAGACAGTGAATGTATTATTGCAGGAAAGGGCAAAGTTGGATCTAAGATCGTTATCGCGATAGTCATTCCGATAGTTCTTGTAGCGTTATTTGCAATTTGTCTATGCTTTGTCTTGAAGAGGAAGAAGAACAAGTCTGGGGTTAAAGCCAAAGGTAACAACTTAATGTCCTTATTAATGTTTTCCTGTTAAAAAGGATGGACTTTAATCCTGAGAACTACTGTCTAAATTTTCAGTTCTTGGGAATTTGCCTTTGTCGGGATCAATTGCCGAGGATGAGTTCTCGAATACAGATTCGCTGTTAGTTGACTTCGAAAATTTAAAGGCAGCAACAAATAACTTTTCTCCTGAAAACGAACTTGGACGTGGTGGGTTTGGTTCAGTTTATAAGGTAAGTTTCTTCGACCAAACTTCTGACCGRWAACWTTGGTTTGTWTATTTGAGAGATTTRTWAMCWTRGGATTATGTAYGTCTCTCAGGGTGTGTTCTCTCATGGGCAAGAAATCGCAGTGAAAAGATTATCGGGTAATTCTGGACAAGGAGACATCGAATTCAAGAACGAAATTTTACTACTTGCGAAGCTTCAACATAGGAACTTGGTTAGGCTTATTGGTTTCTGCATACAAGGACAAGAAAGACTCCTTGTCTATGAGTTCATCAAGAACGCTAGTCTTGACCATTTCATCTTTGGTAATCTTTTTCCGCCTTTTGCTTCATATGATCCCACCAATCTTTCTCCGCTCTGTGTTGATCTTTGTGCCGTTGCAGATCTTGAGAAGCGTGAACTTTTGGATTGGGGAGTGCGATACAAGATGATCGGAGGAGTTGCTAGAGGACTGCTCTATCTTCATGAAGACTCTCGTTACCGGATTATTCACCGTGATCTTAAAGCTAGCAACATTCTTTTGGACCAAGAAATGAATCCGAAAATCGCGGATTTTGGATTGGCTAAACTCTTTGACACAGGGCAAACCATGACACATCGATTCACAAGCAGAATTGCAGGAACTTAGTAAGTAAATTCATCTCACTAACTTATTAAAAATCCTAGAACACACTGGTTTAATCGGTTATTTCATTTCATCTTGTAGCGGCTATATGGCTCCAGAATACGCAATGCACGGACAATTCTCTGTGAAGACAGACGTATTTAGCTTTGGTGTATTAGTCATTGAGATCATTACTGGTAAAAGAAACAACAATGGTGGGTCAAATCATGATGAAGATGCAGAAGATCTTCTTACTTGGGTAAGTACACAAAACCAAACCTGTAATTCGTGTTTTTTTGTTTTTTTTTTTGTATTTGTTCATTTTGTTGATTCTGTTTTTTTTCTCTTCTTCTCAGGTATGGAGAAGCTGGAGAGAAGATATTATACTAAGCGTGATCGATCCGAGTTTAACGACTGGATCAAGAAACGAGATCTTGAGATGCATACACATCGGTCTTTTATGTGTTCAAGAGAGTGCAGCCACTAGGCCAACAATGGCTACGGTTGCTCTTATGCTAAGTAGCTATTCGTTCACTCTCCCGACGCCTTCAAGGCCTGCGTTTGTGATAGAGAGTGTGATACCTTCGAATATTTCTTCTTCGACCGAAGGGTTACGAATGTCTTCCAATGATGTTACTGTTTCTGAGTTAGCTCCTCGTTAGGAAGCTTTATCTGTAAATGTTTTGGAAGTTTCTTTGATAAAACAGCTTTTGCCAATGACACTTAAATCTTGATGTTTAATATTCTTCAATTTCTATATTGATATGTACTATAGTATACCGATTGAAACCATAGAAGTCTACATGCCAAAACCAAAAATAATTTGTTTCCTTTCAATTGTCTTAATAATCTAGCGACAAAATTCATGACTCGACATTATGGAATATGTAGTATGGACTCTCTTGGAGTATATTTAAAATAGGAATTTGATGTCTCTTTATCCCACTAGGCACGATCTCAATTAAACTAATTTTGCAAATTATTCAACTAATCCAATAATTGTAAATTCTTAAACCGATCTGGCACTAAATGCTTTTCTGCGAGTGCATCCACTTGAGATTTGGCCTCATCGATATTGGTTTGCATATATAATTTGGTGCCATGCAAAAGACTGAAAGAACATGTTGACATAAACGAAGAGAGTTTGAAAAGAATATAAAATTAAATCTTGCGTAATTTTTGGATATTAGGCAAGCAAACAAACAACATATAAATGATAAATTAAAAAAATCAATATATTGATTCATTTTACAAACCACGTGCAATAAAAAACAGAGAAGACCGTCCAAATCCAATAATTTGACCACATGAGTCAACCTGGCGGCCAAAATGCAATAAGCATAATAAACAATAATTTAGTGACGCAACATTCTGTCAAAACTGGTATACAAAGCTAACTGCTCCACTTGTCTCACACTTTTTTTCAATTTTGCTAACCACTAAAAATTATTACTTAAAATGAAACACCTTGTATTATCTAAGAATATAATATTACTTCTGATTCTCTTAATTTTTGTACCTTTTGATAAATCTAAAATCCTCACCATTCTTAACTACGAACTATGGACGTCACTATTAGTCCAATCCTATGTAGTCAAAATATCTAAAGGAGTTCAGATTTTATATTGCTAATTTTTTTTTTTAAAAATGCTAATTGTTAAGGATGTCTACATAATCAAAGTTTGAACACTACGTTAAAAACTGATTAATCAGTGTTTTTTTTTTAGTGTGTTCAACGAGTTGAAATCGATACATTTGGAGTTTAATGTCCGATTTCTCTTCTATCTTTTTTTATGTTTATCCGAGATCGGGAAATGTCACAGCTAATACTCTAGCCAAATCGGCACTTGTATACCTTAACTCTATCTCCTTCCGTGGAGTCTAAATATATATCATATTCAGTTTGATAAAAAAAAAAATCAGTGTTTTTAAAACCAAACTAGTTTTGTTCTTTAGCTTTATTGAATCACTCCACCAAAGTGATTTAATCGTTAGTTATTTTATTCACATCATAATTTTATGATAATTAAAATCTTATTTTTGTGGATTATTAATAACTTTCAAAAAGAGCAT